CATGTCTTAAGTACCTCCGATCACAAAGTGCCTCCGGTCACCAGCAACATTGTCCTTTTCTGATTATGACCTAAATTGACTCAAGTTCGTGCACAAATGCCCCATGACCACACAGCGACCAATAGCGAAGCCTTAGTAGGTGAAGTGATCTTGGTGACCTCACTTTCTTAGCAACTCAGGGAGCAGGTTCCATGCCATGCCAAACACGAATGCCACTATTATATAGTCTGTCATTCCCTTTGGTAGGGGATGCTTGGCACGAATTGACGAGGATGCCACCTAGGGATGAAACCAGCTCACCCATGATGCAGGTGTTCCTGGCTTCCGGCTTATGAATTACAGTCGTTTGCCCATATGATTGGAGCCCCAAGAAGTCGGTTGAGTCGAAGTGCCTGAAGTGAAGAGCGCTTCGGGCGAAGAGACCAAGCGCGAGCCTCGGCCTGTTGCGCGCTGAAAAAGGATACGTGGCATAGGGCTCCTATGCTTCCGCTGTGGGATTGCTTAAGCATCAGTCGTCTGTGCAGTTTGAAACGGGGACCATCGGGTGATGGTTAAACGGGAAACAAGGTGATTGTTCACAGATTTCGCGAGATATGGGTGCCAAATGCGCCACGGGAAGCCAAGTATTTGTTGTTTCAGTTGTCTAGACCCTCTAGACAAACTGGACGGCCTGTGGAGGGTCCTTGCGGCAAGCCATTGCAGGATCCAACAACATTTCGGACAACCGCGTGAGAGTAACCTCCAGAAAACGAGCATAGAACCGCAAGGGGTTCCTGGAAGATGGTGTTCCCTTTATGAGGGAAGCCCTGTGCAGATTTGATGTATGTTTTTGGGAAAGTTGGGCCACAACTTACAACTGGAGGGATGCGTCGGGGCTGGTTTTGAGGGATGCTGCTGAGGTGCTTTTTGCGATTTGCGATGGCACTTCCAAATGTTCACGTGTGTGAGTGTGAGTGTGCGTGTTTTCATCCCTCATATGTTGGCCAAGGGACCGAAGGGAGAGGGAGGGGGGGTGGATTCATGCTTAGCATCATGGGCGCCCACGATGAGTTTGCACTGCGCAAGCTTTCCAATGGGGGATGAGAGAGGGCCTGAAAAGCAGTGGGTTCGTGGTGCCTTTTTGCCTCTTGAACGTTGGAGTCGAGCGTCGCAAGCAAACAGGGTGGCTTTTCAGAGGCGACAATGGACTTAAACACACATATTCAATTGCTTTACATTTATACAAACTGTATGTACATTCATATACATATATATAGACCCCCCTCCGATACCAAGGTTTTCCTGCCAAAACAAATATATATATATATAGACAGCATACACAATCACAAATATTCCCGGTCTCCGGTCCAGTGCCCCCACAATGTATTCATTCTTCCCGTGAGCACAGATGCAAAGGCAGGCAGGGACAAGTTTAACAGTTAGTGCCCAACAACAAACAAGATTCGACGATGGGGGGGGGAGGCCGTCCCTAATTTGGCGCCACGATATTGGCATGGCCGGTTGCCAAACATGGAACTTTTCTTGGCATACACACATATATATATATATACATACATCTCCTACCTGTTTCTTTACCTATATGCCTGAGCGGCTCTAAGTTCCACACCAACTTCAAAGCTAATTTAAACAGTCATCCCTCGTCTCCCTTTGGCCAGAGGGCCCGGACCGTTGAAGGCGAGAGCGGCACCAGCTTGTTGATCCCGAGTGGCGGATTTGTTGGGGGGGAGGGGCCTTCCCCAAAGAAGGATCACGTATTCATCGGCCAAGTGTGCGTTAATCCCAGATTGCGCTTACATATTATTGGGATCCAGCAATGGGGACATCGGCAGAAGAGAGCATCAGATGGTGGCATTTTTCAGCCCCCGAATGCAACAAGCGGAATTCGAAAACCATTGTATACAACGCCCCTAGGACAAGAACCCTGACACTGGAGTTTTCCGTATTTCTGGGGCCTGGGTCAAAGTAATTTGAATGACCAGGTTAATCCCCTCTAGCTTTGAGCTCCCTGGAGGAGCATGAGGTGTTGCCGGACGTCGTTACCTACAACAGCTGCATTGCTTCCTGTGCCAAGGCCCATTAGCGCATCCCTGAAAGCAAACGTCTGCAGGCATTCTCCAATTACCTTTGGGGGCGCTGTGTGTAACCCTCCATTTCGAGTGTAAATTTGAGGATGTCACTTGAATGGATCCAGGTGCTGTCTGAGGACCAGGGCTGCCAACCACAGGCCCTCTCCAAACAATATGCGAGGCATTTGGATCCTTCACCGGGTTCTTCACTGGCACCCGAGGTTGCTTTGTGTTCAGTGGGCTCCCCACTCAAAATGATCAACCCCGACAAGTGTTCCAACAGGCTTTAGCTATTTTGAGGGCCCAGCCCGAGTTGAACAACGACTTGCAATTTCTGAATGATCGAGTCCATTTAAAATCAAGCAGAGAACAGGGTGCCCTCACAAAATGGGTGAGGCCAAAGGAAGTGGTAACTCCCTGTAAGTAAGCAGCCTTTTTGCCTTTTGGCTGTAAACGCCGGTGCCCTGGGTTCGTCTGTTTGACAAGGGAAAAATACGCTGGGACAAGCACACGAACATGGACCTGGACAAATTCTATCAAGCCGACCTAGATCCTTTGCCGGCAGGTTCCCTATTATTTCCGCTTTGGGAATTATAACCATTTGCCCACATGAATTCAATTTTGCTATCGGGGTTGCCACTCCGCTGGCTGCCGAAGATGGTTTGGAACAATGCCATCAGTGGTTGTTGTTTGCTTTCCTCAATGCTTCCAGCAAGAATTACCGACTCTGAGGAACCTTTTGTCTCGCTGTTTGCCCCTTGGTATTGCAGCTGCGCCGATTCTCATGCATGTGGGGAATGCTTTGACCATTTTAAACAAGGAAGGGAAACCTTCAATTTGCGTTTTCGTTTCATCTTCACCATCCGAGTTTGATTGTGTTCCGAATGTGTGGCAATCTTTGATTTATTTAGGTTGGTTCCCCACCACAAGGATGGCCCCTTTTTTAGGGGGCCCCCAAAATGATACTTGTTTTTTTGGCTTGCACTTTAAAACCACCAAAAAAGGGTACCTTCACAAAAAGACACACCCACATTCCCCTTCAAGAACAGCCCTTTTCCCTTTTCCCTGCTCCTTTTCTTTTAAGGACCTTGCCCGTCCGCAGGCCTTCCAGTGGCAACCTGCCTTGCGCCAGCTGTCCCTCATGGCAGAGGCGTGCTGATATTGACTTGTTTGTTCCAGCTGCCCGGGGTGAAAAGGGTTTCCCGCGTCTTCTTTCTTGCCGCCCGTTCCTGAATTGCGGGAGGTGCGTATGGCCGACACCATCACCTACAACGCTTGTATCAGCGCGTGCGAAAAGAGTGGCCTCTGGGCACTCGCAATGCAGCTCTTTAGCCAGATGCTTTCGAGCGGCCCGGCCCTGGGAGGAGTCTGTGCGCAAGAGGCTTTTGCAACGGACAATGTTGGCATCACAGGCCCTCATCGGTTTTGCATTGCCCTGTTCAGTTTTCTGACATATATTCTAAGAGTTGTGTGCTGACACCCAAACCGCTTGACGTGCACATAAAGGGATGGGGTGCTCCCCAGATGGTGCGACTGAGCGTTGGTAAGTTGTGTGGCTCGGCACGCTTGCGCGCCCAATGTGGCGCGACTGCGACTGAGGACTAGCAAGCGTGTTTGGTTGTCACTTGCAGGTGCTAGCTGGAGGTTGTGAGGTCTGTTTTTTTGGAGGGGGGAGTCATTGGTTGGCTGTGACGGTGCTGGGGATGTGGAAGCAACTTGGCGCCCTTTTTGATGGGGCTTCACAGCGCGGCTGGGCATTGGGAAACTGTGTTTTTCTGATTTGCCTTGGGGCGTGATTTTTTGAATCTTAGTTTCTCTACAGGCTTGCTGTTGTGGGGGTGCTCCCCAACACAGCGCGGCTGGGGATGGGTTCCCTCAACACGGCGCAGCTGGTGCTTGCGGAGCTGCAGTTTTCCCACTGGGCGTGCCAGTTCCGTCGGCGGCGAACTTGATGCGTGGCCTACATCATAGGCCGGCCCTTGCTTTGTTTGCCTGTCAATCGGCTGCCGTGGCGCCGTGGCGCCGCTGGTGTCAGGCACGCTTCCGCTGCTCACTACTGCTGCCGCAGCCGTTGCTTCTGCCGGGCCACCGCTGCCACCGCTGCTGGCGCACTGCCCTCACCGCAGCGGCAGCTGCTTTTGCTGCTGTTGCTGTTTTGCTGCTGCTGCTGCTGCTGCTGCTGCTGTTGCTGCTCGCGTGATCGTCGTCGTTGTTGTTGTTGTCGGCTGTTGTTGCTTTTTTTGCATGTTGGACTGTTGCTGTGGGATGGCCATGACGCTTGCGGAGCCACCTCCCTGGCCTGATCTCCAGCGGGCAAGCTGCTGTGAGGGATGCTGCCAGGTGTTTGGCTTTGGCCGCGCCAAAGGCCGTGTCTGTCCGTCTGTCTGGCTTGACGTGCACATAAAAGCAAGCCTTGGCTTAACCTGCCTTCCTAGTGTGATGTTTTTGGTTTCCATCATTCATACCATTTCACAAGCCAAGCGCGTTTTGTGTCGCACTTGGCCCCTGTTTTGCCACCATTGGCCGGACTGCCGGTCCGCTGCTTTCATTTCAGGCCGAGCGGTACTCACAGCGTTTGATCCCTGGAGCTTTGGATCCTTTCAGTTCCTCATGTTGTTTGGAGCCTGGTGGTTTTGAGGTGTTCTGGGGAAACCCATCCCTCTACAAGAAGGAGTTCAAATCCCGGTTTCAAACAATCTAAAACATCAACGACCTGACATTTGTTGGCGATCCCAACTTAGAACCCGTTACCCGGCTGTTTGCCATCCCCTGGGTATCTTCGCCCGGGCACGGTAGGGGTTGGGAGCTTGCCATGTTGCCAGAAATGCAAGCGGGCTTGGGGGGGGCCAAGCCGAAGCCCATGGGCTCAGGCGGAATCAGCCCCAGCACTGCAACATTCAACACCTGCACCTCTGCTTGTGCCAGAGGCAGGGCCTGAGCTGTTTCACCGGGTTTGCCGTTAGAGCTCCCAGTGTTCCTCCCCTTCTTCTGCTTTTTTCCCCAAACAGTTCACTGTTTGGGTTATTACCCTTAATAAAAAAAGAGCCGCATGCTGCCAGATCACCGGGCCGCATGCTCGCCAGTGTGCGCAATTACTTGTCTCCCAGTGTGGGCCTTCATTTTGTCGCCCAGTGCTGCCAGATCGCTGGGTCGCATTCTGGCCATCTCCCCGTGCTGCCGGATCGCCGGGCCTCATGCTCGCCAGTGAGTGCATTTGCTTGTCTCCCAGTATTTGCCTTCATTTGTCTTGCCGTGCTGTCACATCGCTGGGCCGCATGCTCGCCAGTCTGCGCATTTTGCGCATTTGCTTGTCTCCCAGTATGCGCCTTCATTCGGGCCGCGTGCTGCCGGATCGCCAGACCGCATGCGCGCCAGTGGGCGCAGTTACTTGTCTCCCAGTATGCGCCTTCCTTTGTCTCGCGGTTCTGCCAGATCGCTGGGCCGCGTGCGTGCCAGTGCGTGCATTTACTTGTCTCCCATTATGTGCCTCGTCGGGCCTCACGCTCGCCAGTGTGCGCATTTACTTGTCTCCCATGCTTCTGGTTGGTGCGTACGCGTGTTCACCGTCGGCGCATGAAAATGTTCATTGTTGGCGCAGAAGCGTGCCCACCGTCGGCGCACAAGAGTGTTCCTTTTTGGCGCGCAAGTTTGTGCACCGTCGGTGCAAGAGTGTTCCTCGTTGGCGCATAAGCGTGTTCACCGTCGGGGCATAAAGTGCCCGTTGTCGGCGCACAAGTGTGTGCACTGTGGGCGCACACAAGTGTCCTTGTTGGCGCACAAGCACAAGAGTGCTTCTCGTTGGTGCATAAGCGTGTTCACCGTCGGCGCAGAATAGTGCCCGCTGTCGGCGCACATGTGTGTTCCCTGTGGACGCACACAAGTGTTCCTTCTTGGCGTACACGCGTGTCCACCGTCGGCGCACAAAAGTGGACGCTTGTAAAATGCTCCTTGTTGGCGCGAACGCGTGCCCACAGTCGGCGCACACGAGTGTTCCTTGTTGGCGCAGAAGTGTGTTCGCTGTCGACGCGCGCAAGTGTTCCTTGTTGGCGCACGGGCGTGTTCACAGTCGTGGCAAGAGTGTTCCTCGTTGGCGCATAAGCGTGTTCACCATCGGCGCAAAAAATGCCCGTGCACAAGTGTGTTCACTGTGGGCCCCGGGCGCGCGCAAGTGTTCCTTGTTGCAGGCGTGCATGCCTTCCAAAAGCGCCAAAGTGCAGCTGGACGCCGGTTGAAACCCCGCGTGTCAAACAGGCACTTTTGGGTCACTTGACTTTCCATTCTGATGTGTTTTCTTTGTAACGGTACCCCTCCTTGGGTTGTTTTAAAGGGAACCAGGACCAATAGGAAAACCATTCTGGGTGGTCCCTCAAGACACGCGCGCACAGACACACGCATTTGTTGCTGGCTTGTCCTGCGTGGCGCATCATAGTGTTCTACGCTTGGTTTTTTTCATGGAGGTCTGGGGCCCCCTCCACTATGATGAGAATGTGCTGTGTAGGTTTTCGGAAAACAGTATCAGGCAATATTGTCTTTGGACCCTCAGATGCGGGCCGCTTGTTCCTGCTTCAGGTTTGCCAACGCAACTTAACATTCCATTAAGGCACCTTCATTTTTGAAAATTGTTTCTTGAATTAAGACAAAGGTGGAATTGAGGAGCCACACAAAAAACTCTTCTCCTCCGGCAAATCGACGTGGGAGCGGGCCGTTTCTGCTTACGTACGCGGCCAGGTGAGGAGTGGCAGCTGGCCCTCGGCTTCTTGCAGAAGATGGGGGCCACGCAGCCGCTCCGCCGTGTTTGGAACTGGGGGCTACAGAACTGGTTTCAGAAGGGGGGTCATGTGAACGCTTCTCGTTGCCCGCCTCGGCCAGTCCGCTTTTAGCCTGCTTTGAGGTCTATATTGCGCTTTAGTTTGCCTGGAAGTGTGGTGTTTATCAGGGTGAGCAAGTCGGCGCCGAAATGAGTGAGCTTGTTTTTCAAGGCAGACGGTGGGCGCATGTACGCGTCGTTTCTGACATGCCTTCAAGGGCCAAGCACAGAGGCCAAGCGAAGGTGCACATTTCTGGGGAATTTGACTGGTTTGTGGGGGGGGAAATTTTCCGGTTTAGATTTGACAGGTTTTTAGGGGGGTTGGATTGGTTTTTGAAGGGTTTCAACAGGGAATTTGATTGGTTTCTATGCGGCTTTGACCGAAGATGGACTGGTCTACAGAGGGGGTTTGACTGGTTTCTAGAGGGGATAGGATCGGCTTCTAGCTTCGGGCTCTACTTCAGGAAGCACCCAGGTTTCCTGTTGCTCAACAATTCCGGGGGTCGAGTGAAGCGTCCCGTGCTTCAGAATGCAACTAGATAGAGCGGCAGGACGCACAAATTTGCTTTAAAGGCTGGCTGGCGGGAGCAAGTAGTGCTTATAGGTGCTTCCTAGTTCAGATTGCCAACTTTTGGCTTGAGGGGGAATCAACTGGAGGTTTTGGGGGGAGAAAATGATGGCGCACCAGCAGGCCCCCAATAACTGTTTTCATCAAGCACTTGTTGGGGCAATTCCCCCGAATTTTAGTTTAGCCGTTTCCTTTCCACATCCACATGAAGGAATTGCGCCATCTACATTCGCCCTGTCGAAGTAGTTTTGGGAATGAACTTTGGGATTCCCTTGCCGCACAGTTCACAAGGGTCGCTGCCTCATTGATCCGCAGGACAAGCTTATGAAGGTGCCCGAACCTGGTCATTCCGAGGCTTATGAAGTGTAGTCATACAGGATTTTTTGATATTTTTTGCTGGAACTTGGGCGCACGCACTTAGCAAGGAAAACAAAAGGACAGCATTTTTCCCGAAAGCATTGCGAAGGGTTCTTCCGTGCGGAGCTCTTGGTCAACTTGCGCAGAGTAGCTTGCACAGAGTCACTAGCATGGAGATATCAGGAGCTCTTGGTCAACTTGCGCAGCGTAGCTTGCACAGAGTCACCAGCATGAGTTACTAGCACAGAGTAGCTTGCACAGAGTTACCAGCATGGAGACGCTTGCGCAGAGTCACCAGCATGGAGATGTTAGCGTGGAGATACTTGCACAGAGTCACCAGCATGGAGATACTTGCACAGAGTCACCAGCATGGAGTCACCAGCAAAGGTGCATAGAGCCAAGTGCGTAGAGCTAGGTGCATAGAGCTAAGCTAAGCTAGGTGTAGAGGCTCGGCGGTAGCAGCTGTGTAAGCTAGGTTAAGTAAGTTAGGTTAAGTACTTAACGCGTGGGAAAGAAAGAGAAAGAGCTCGGTATTAAGAATCTCTTTTAAGGCGGGGGGTGGGGATGTTCCCGACGATCGGGAATGCGACCCTCTGCGGGGATTGGCGTGGTCGAGGTGCAAAAACTCGAGGTTTTTTGCATTTTTGATATGCCCGCGCGACCCTCTGCGGAGATCGGCGTGGTCAAGGTGCAAAAACTCGAGGTTTTTTTGCGTTTTTTTTGCGGCGCCCGCGCGACCCTCTGCGGAGATCGGCGTGGTCGAGGTGCAAAAACTCGAGGTGTTTTTTGCGTTTTTTTGCGGTGCCCGCGCGACCCTCTGCGGGGATCGGCGTGGTCGAGGTGCAAAAACTCGAGTTGTTTTGCGTTTTTTTGCGGCGCCCGCGCGACCCTCTGCGGAGATCGTGCGTGTCGAAGCGCTCTCTCTGTGGCGCCGTGCGAATTCTTCTAAGTGTCCACGAACCCGTCGCGGAGATCGTGCATGTCGAAGCGCTCTCGCTGTGGCGCCCGCGATTTTTGTTGCTCGCGAAATGGCCTTTGGAAGTTGTCTCGTGGTTTGCGCGCCTGCTTTCGCAATCCCGCGGTCGCGGGTTCGATTCCCCCCTGGTCCGCGGCAGCTCCGGCTGGAAAATCGCAGCTTTTAAGTACAAACGTAGGACGCGGAGCGTGCTCCTGCAGCTCCGGCTGGAAAATCGCAACTTTTGAGTACAGACGTAGTATGAGGAGCGTGCTCCCGCAGCTCCGGCTGGACAATCGCAACTTTTAAGTACAAACGTAGTACGCGGAGCACGCTCCCGCAGCTCCGGCTGGAAAATCGCAGCTTTTAAGTACAAAAATAGTACGCGAAGTACATTCCCACAGCTCCAGCAGCACTTGCGCAGAGCAACTTGCGCAGAGCAACTTGCACAGAGCGCTTGCACAAGGCACTTGCGCAGAGCAACTTGCACAGACCAACTTGCACAGAGCACATGCGCAAAGCGCTTGCACGGAGCAACTGGCGCAGAGCGCTTGCGCAGAGCAACTTGCTCAGAGCACTTGCGCAGAGCAACTTGCACAGAGCACTTGCGTGCAGCAGCTTGCAGAGAGCAACTTGCGCGCAGCAGCCTGGAACAATGCAGCTTGCGCAGACCACTTTCGTGAGAAATCGCGCGGCGCAGTTCGTGCAAAGCACATTGCGCCGAGCAGACTCGTGCAGAGCCAACTTGCACAGAGCCAGTTGCGCAGAGCCACTCGCGAAAAGTAGCTTGCGTAGAGCCAACTTTCACAGAGCCAAGCTGCGCAGAGCCATCTTGCACAGAGCTAAGTCTAAGTTGCGCGAGCGTGCTTTGCAGAAACTGTGGCCGTCGTGTAAGCTTTGCTATTGATTGCTTTTCCTTTTGCTTGTAATTCGTTTCGAGCTTTACGAGCTTTACTCTTCTTGTTTTAACGGATGTAAATATGTGGGATCGAGCACTGCCATGTTTCCTCTCGTAGGACGATGAGATGCGGCTCTCATGTGACCATACACATTGAGCATCGCCGCGTGCAGACACGCTCGCCGCAGCGATGTAAAAAGGTGTCTCCGCGGCTGGATGAGCACCTGGGGAAAAATGCTTTCGGGCCAATCGTCCTCTAGTTTTGTGGCTGGTTTCGATCAAATTTCGCAGACTCAACCGTTTCTCGCTTCTTCACTGGACTCCGCCCTTTTTAACCCCCTTGGTGTTTGGTGGGTCGACCGTGGAATTAGCAGGGTCACTGGGCCACTGGAGATTGGGCAGTATTTCCGTTCGAGGTACGTTTGGAGGATTGTTGGAGGTGCTTTCCACTACACCAAAGCCCTTACTTCCAGGGCTTCTTTTGTGTCGCCAAATCTCGGGAAGCAACAGCAAGCTGAGGGGCATATGTGCTGAGAACAGTATAGTGACAGTGCGAACTATCTACTGTGCATGCCATAGATGATTAGAAGTAGTGCGACCGCCGCAGCTCTATAATTATCTGCTGAAGCTAACCGGGGTTTGGCGGCTGAAAATGTGGCTGTTTCACTGGTACGGTATCCACTGTGCCAACCGGTGGTCATGCAGGGCCAAGTCTACTTCCTCTCAGGGTAAGGTTCACTGAGTTCTTGTTTCCCTAGTTTGGTTCATTGCGTCGAATTCCCAGTTCACTCACTGAAGATTTCATTTGAGTGGTTTGCGTTGCTCCCAGGCTCCCTAAGGGGCATGTTTTCTCGGCTTTTGGGGAAAGACGGTGGTTTCCCGTGTTCATCGAAGCTTGCGAAGCAAGACGGCAAACAGCAAGGGCAATACTTTAGCAAACTAGCAAAGCAGGGCCAAGCCTTCGCAGTGGGTGGCTTCCGGAATTTCAATTGGTTCGGGATAATTTCTGGGAGGATCGGTTGACAGGTCTCCACTCTCTGGGAAATGACCAAGTCTCCACTGACAAGCAAAGAACAAATGCACAAGTTTGTTTTTTTGGTTTTGGGGGGGTTCACAGGCCAGCCGCCCAGTGGAGTGGATGCCACCCTTTTTCCATGCCTGCTTTGTGGGCTCCCCCTGGTTTCCCACAAATCGTCACCCAAAAGGGCGGGGGTCACTGGGCAAGGGGGCAGTTTCTCAGGATCAAGCGCAGCATTCTCACCTACATGGCGGCCATGACCGCATGTGGTGAGGGCACCTCGGTCTCCCTTTTTGCGCCGCTTGGGCCCATGGGCCCCAAACGAAGGTTGGGGTCCAAAGAACGGGGTCCCTCCCTTCCCAACGTTCACGTGCGTGTGCTTTGATTCGAGTGGATTGTCGAGACGGCTTGTTGCCGAACAGATGGGACAACACGCTGCTTTCTTTGTGGCAGACTGTGAAGATCCGCGTATTTCACGGTAGCCATGTAGTGCACAGCGTTTGCATTCGGCGCGCAAGGCAAGGCTAAGGAACTAGTAAGGCGCATGTAAGGCCCTGTTTTGAGCTGGAGCTGCCATTTGTCGCGCAAGCCGCCTTTTCAGTACTGGCACCCGCAGCCCATGTGTCCGGCAAGACAAAACACAGGCTGCGTAAGGTATGCGGAAGCAGTGGCGCAAGGAAAGTTTCGGCGACATTGCAAACCATGACGCGTTTGGACGTGGCTCGTTTGAGCGAGCATCTTGTCGTCACCATTGCCACTGGGCATTTAGGTTGTGGCCGGGCTACAGATACACCTTGGTCATGCAGCACAACACGCCGGGAACAATGCACGCCTTGGACGTGAGATCTAGGTAGCTACAAACACTCAATCGCACGTTTGCACCGCTGCATGTAAGCATGGTGCAACAGTACGCAAACAGGGGATCTTGGTCAATTGTATCGCTAAACGAAGGATGAGATGTGCTGGCCGCCGGTCCGGACAGGGAAGCTTTCAGGCACTCACTCTCGTCTTCAAAGAATCCCCCACTAGCGTTGTATGCCGTACACATGAACGAGCCTGTCAAAAGCATCCCGCGCTTCGGGATGCAGAATTGTTGTCAGCTTTTTGCGCAACCAGCCGGGCAAGGCCACACGGCATCAGCGAAGGGGCAAGTGGCGAAGCGGGGGGCGGGTCGTTCAGGTTTGCACACCGAGTCTTTCGGCTAGGTGAGCAGTGGCAGCTGGCCCTGGATTTCTTCGGGCAGATGCAGCGGGATCGCATCTCTCCAGCGCCCTCACCGCATTCCAGCGCCACACTTTCGAATGGAAAGCAGGCGTTCTTTTTGACGCACATGCACGTGCTTGTTTGGCAATATGGGCTGAACAGATTGTAGCTGTTGGTGGGCTGCCTGGGTACAACGCCCACTTGTTCAGAACAATGAAAACAACAACATGGATTCAGGAGCGTGTGGCTTTCAATAGCACCAGGCATTGTATGCATACCCCGGACGTCTCTGCAAGTTTGATGCTGCACCAGGTGAGGTTGTTTGCAAAGGGACGCCAAGCATGCACATGTCGCATCCGTAAGATCAAGGTTTCTCCATCAGCCCTCAGCCTCAACACACGGCCTGCGCACGCTGTTGAATCCTCGGGTCCTCCCGGCCTACAGCCTTTCAAGGTTAGTATGAAAGAGGGTCGTCATTTTATCAGTCCTTCTATCGTTTGTACAGCTCGATTCTTTTGCCCCATTTTTTGCCTCAGCTGCAGAGTAAGACAAACATATTCAGTTCCCAGCTACCTGCAACAATTCGGGGCCCAGTTTCCGTACCCTCGGGCAAGAGGCTGGCGAAAAGGGTTCCGGTGCCTGCAAGTGCCGAGCTCACTGATGCACGCTCGTTGCAGTCAGCGCTACTCGTTGCTTCTCAATAGAAATGCACACTCGCTGTAGTTTGGGCTTCACACCACGCCATTCAAAACGTGTGGCTTTGGCCCTGTGGTCCAGAAACTTTCCTATGATGGTTGTCCATGGTTATATAGAGGTTAAGAATGGATTTTGAGTTTAGGCTGATTTGCCTGAAACCTGAGACCTTTGTTTCAGGGTGCTTAGTGGTGCTGCCTTCTCCGGTCTGGGTTTCCGGCGAGGACATTGGCGCCTGTAGCGCCTGCATCAGCGCCTGCGGTGCCCAGTGGCGAGTGGCGTTGAGTCTGTTCAGCCTCGCGGCTGAAACCAGTGGACACGGGAAGAAAACTTGCTCAAAGCTTCCCCAGAATTAGTTCCCCTTGACTTCTTGATTTTTTGGGGTCCCCTTTGTTTTCCACTAGCCGCGCAACAAATGCAGTTGTTTGCTGGGGCCTAAGTTCAGCCAAGAAAGTGAGTTGGACCACTCTTCTCGGTTTCCTTTCGGCTTGCTTCAGACACATTCTGAGCAGACCTGTTTGTTGAAGCCAAGCCAAGCTTCTGCAAGCCCACTATACAGGCGTTTACAGCAGTTGTTCCAACGCTCCAAAATCTCTAGAATGGACTTCACTGCGTCTGGCATGGTGCGTTTGGATCAAACTTGCAGGGAGCTACAAATCCTTTTGGTGGCTTTTTTCTCCTGGCGAGGTGACGTTCAGACGGTAGCCTGTGAGAGCGATTTCGCCATCCAAGGGTTCCAAACGTGGAACCTGATGCCATGCACATGGTTCAAGATTTGAACTTCAGCTTGTCGCGTGCTGTCCCCTCCCTTTCAGGAAAGCAACATCAATGAGACATATTGCAGAAAAGTCACAAGTTCAGATGACCGCGGGGTGGATCAAAGTGAGCCTTGGCTGTGGAGCCGCCTTGTGGACCCTTCCGTGTCTCCTTTGAGTCGTTTGGTTTTCTGTGCATGGGTATGTTTCAACAAGCAAAAGCCACCAGCATCAGAATCAAACAGGAAATCAAACTCCATCCAGGCCCCAGTCACAACCATGGTCATAGCGGGACTAACCCCACATACCCCAGTAATATCCCCATTTTGGGGAGCACATCCCTCAGTTCATGCAAAAGGGAAGCAATTCGAGGAATCCAAACGCTCTTTTGCTATTTGGTAACTTAATGCCCCCTCCGGACTGTGGTTGTTTACGAATGGACTTGGTGAGTCTTGGATCTTGGATCTGGCAACCTGTGCGAGGGAGCCTTTCCCCAATCCGAGATTTGGTTGCATGTCCCAGGGGTCCCTATGTCCCCCTTGTTCCAGTTCGAAATGAATTTCCTTTTGGTATTCGGGCACCCTGTGTTCCGTGTCTCCTTTTGCCCGCCGAAAACAGATCCCCGGCCCCAAGCCATGAAACGTTTGTCGAGACTTCGGCTCTGCGATCCCCAAGGGTTCGATCCCGCAATACGAAGGGGCTTTTGCACAGAACTGGCACGGAACGTGGTGCATTTTGTTCCGTTGCCTGTGAAACCCAGGCACGGGTGCAGCGTGGCAGCTGCGCGCCAACGCAGTGACCTGTAGTGCTGTCATCAAGGCAGGGGTGTCCAAAGTCCATGGTTTCCTGGGGTCCTAAACTCCACGGGTCGCTCAAGGTATGCAGAACGGGATCCGTTCGATCAGTCCTGCATGCTTGCGGAGTGCATTCCAAAACTGGAGACGCCTTGCGGACGGCATCTGAAATGGGGAACAGGTCGAAGCAGGGCAGTCTCAGTTAGCTTGCAGTTCAACGCCCACGGTTTATTTTCCGGAACACTCAAACGGCAGAGCTGGCAAAGCGCATTTTCCTTGCAACACCCTTGACAACTCATTTTCCTTGACAACTGGGTTTGGCAACAGAGCGGCACCCTTTTGCGACCCTGCCAGGCCCTCAACATGAAAATCCAGTGGGCCCTCGATCCGGGCCATACGGTCCCAGTGTTGCTACGCTGTTCTTTTGAGTTGAACTTCCAACCTTACACTGTTGATCGAACAGGAGTGTTTTCACCCACGTGCCAGCCCCAAACAGACCACACACAGCCAAAACACGCCGACCATCTACAGTGTGGCGCGTGAGGGGGGAAGAAGGGAAGAGCAGCCGAATTTGGTGCGTTTGGGAGCAACCCCGCAAGGCTACCCGGCCGGAGAAGGCGTTTCAATCGACCTTGAGAGTCTCATCACATCCCCTCAAGGAATTAGATGTATTTTGGAGGAGCTTAGGTACGTCCTGACTGACACATGACTGAGACAGGTCGCAGAGGAGCGTAAATACCTACAGCCCCCGTACTATGCGTCAAAATGACAAACCCCACACACAAAAAACATCTCTCTCTCTCTCTATATATATATATATATACAGATATGGGACGCGGTCGTTTGAACGCGTTGGCGAAAAGCAACGCACGCGCTGTGGCAACTCGAGGGCCGCGCCGCCGGCCAAAAACAATGAACGCGCTGCTTTGGCGGTTCAAGGGGCGCGCCGCTGGCCAAAAACAACGAGCGCGCTGCTGTGGCAATTCAAGGGATGCGCTGCCTCTAACCACAAGTGAAGCGTGCTGTGGAAAATTGGCTCTGTGAGGGACAAGCTACTCCCAGGGTAGGCTTCCCCGCGGGTCTCCGGACAGCTTCCTGGTGCTTCCCCGGCACCTCTCGGCGGACAGCTTCCTGGTGCTTTCCCGGCACATGTCCGACAGCTTCCTGGTGCTGCCCCGGCACCTCCGGCAGCTTCCTTGTGCTTCTTCCAGGCTAAACCGCGGACTTGCCTGGAGAAAACGGCTATTCAAACTTGACCAAAGAGTGTCATATTTAGAGCCAGATGGCTTCCTGGGCGGATTTTGGCGCTGAAATTGTGTCGTCCGGAAGCTGTCCGGAGAGGTGCCAGGAAGCTGTCCGGAGAGGTGCCGGGGAAGCACCAGGAAGCTGTCCGCAAAGGTCCCGGGGAAGCACCAGCAAGCTGTCCGGAAGTGCCGGGGAAGCACCAGGAAGCTGTCCGGAGAGGTGCCGGGGAAGCACCAAGAAGCTGTCCGCAATGCATTTCTTAGGATTTAATGTTATGCTAAGAAGCATCCCATCCTTTCCAGATTCTTTTCATTCCTGGAATTACCTGTCATCTATTGGGTCAGGAATAACTTTCCTATCTTTTTCTTGTCTTTATGATTATTTGCTTATCTTATATTGTTTGGTGATTTCTTTCATGGCGCTCGAGCAAACACCTACCATAGCGCGCTCCAAAAGGATAAAACTAAAATGCTCCCCGTCGCAGAGCGTAGCGCGCGCGCTGGTATTGTCAGCGCGCTCCAAAACGATAATATTTTGGCGCGTTGCAAAGACCGGGTGTGATACAGATATGTTTGCATAGACATAGATACACATAGTGCCTGTACATGAAGTGTATCATATGCATGTATTTACCAAAGTGGAAGTGGGATTCCACCCTAGAAACAAACTTGCACAACCTCGTTCGGGATACAGCCTTCCTGACTGATACATGACTTGCGCGTCATATCATGTGTATATATGCGAGGGACACGAACTCAAAGGGCATTTGGTCTATTCCTTCGATCCCTTCCTGCACTCACATGCCTGAGCGTGGTGGCAATTTGTTGTTGGTTCAGGACAACGAAGTCATTGTGGGTATCCCACTTTGGTATCACAGGAGTGGATTGAGTTTCCCAGAACCATGCGTGGCTTTGTTTTCGTGGCTGGCCAATCAACTTTCTCAAGGCGCGGGTGCCTCATTCTTCGCAACCCAGGCGTTCAGTGGCGCGGCTTCCCCCTTGTTTGGGATTCCCATGAAGAAATTGTCAACCCCAAAACCAGCTAGCAACTGGCTAGCGGTTGCAAGGAGGGCCATTGGGGGGCTGGGCCTCAAATTTCGCCTTTCCAGGAGCATTTCAAGGCTACCGGAAACATTGCAAGGACATGGTAGAACTAACAACCTCACATATATATATATATTATATGTATATATATATGCATAGGTACATAGATATGTGTATAGTTCCTGTATATCAAATGTGCCATGGAAACATTGCAAGAACAATGGGTTCTATTTTTCTTCCTAGGGCCACCTGGGTCGAAACTTCGCTTCGAGAAGCGTGCGTTTTTGCGCGAGGCCTGTGGCAAGGGCAGCCAGTGGCAGCAGGCGCTGCAGATGCTCGACAGCCTCCCTGAGGCCCCGGCTGCAGCAACCGCAGTGGTGGGCTTTGAAAACAAAGGTGGACTGCAAAAAATGTTCCTTTTCCGTTTGATTTCCATAGAAAACAAGAAAGATGCACTCTGGAGTAATAGATCTGCTTGCTTCGTACGGGGTGAGGGCCCTCCAAAAGTGATGATGAGTGCTGGGGGACACCCTCCGATCAGGCTCAACCAGGGGTTCTGCTTGATTGCAGTTCCCGTGATTTGAAAATACGCATATTGTGTACGTGCATTTCCTCTTTATGATTTACATGTTGCCTGTACGGTTGCACAAAAAAACAGACGCGCAGGCGCTTCTGAGCTCCAGCGCCTTTGGCAGCGCCATGGCCGCTGTTTCCTTCGATTGGCAGAAGGCCCTGGGCTTGTTCGCGGAGATGCGGCGCAAGAGCCTGGAGCAGAGTACTCTCAGCGCCCCGGAAGATCTGGCGGAATGTCCATGGACCGTAGCAGGTGAAAGATATGTGTTTGGTTGTGCTATGCCTGGGTGTTGGGTTGTTGGGTGGAAGGAGACGCGGAAACAGGGCTCTGATACTTTGAGGGGCCTGACTGACGTTGCAAGGCAACTAACGCTAGGCCCTTTTCCAGGCAAATAACTGGCGTGATCCTGGTGCGAGCGCCTCCCAAAAAAACACAGGCGTTTTGCCACACACGACGTTTACGGACCTTGGCCATGGCAAAGGTGTAGCGGAGAATGTTTGTTCCATGCGTCTCCTTGTGGAACCCTTGGGCTTGGGCCGGGTTTGTCCCGGCCTCCAACAGATGAAGCTGGTTTAGGTGGATATTTTCGGGTTTGTGGATGTGAATTTTCACAAGACATGGGCCAGAATCTAAGCTTGAATTTGGCGATTCATGACTTTGCGCAGGCAGGGGCGTGAAGATGGGTGTTATCAAGCATTTGATCAGTGCAAAGCGAGTGGTAATGGGAGACCGGCGGTCAAAGCTTGCGCGTTGTTCTGAAGAGTTTGACAGGTTTTTGTAGCGGGTAAAGTGAGCCTTTCGGTTCATCACTGAAGGGTTGTCCCAGCGGGCATGTGAGCCTTGCGCTGTGGGAAAGCCACATACCATCAGGTTCTCTATGTTGATGAAATATAGTTACCTGGGGTTGGATTGCCAGACCCGCCTTCCATTCTTTGAGGGCGGTGTTAGTTTGAAGGACATTGTCATATTTGCGCATGCACGTACGTATGCACCCACACACGTATATCAATGTGAATGTATACATAGGTTTCGGCAGCACCTTAAGCAATTGGAAGCAGTGACAGGGGTCAGCTTTTCTTTCCAGTCCGGCAAGTTACCCTTCATTCAATGTGCCACTTAAGCCTGTTGCTAAAAGCGGGTGGTGACAAACACAAACACAAGCACAAGAACACACGCGCACGCGCCCAGGCACTCGCACGCGCACGCGCACGCACACGCATGCACGCACTTGCACGCGCACGACACGAACGCACACAAGCACACACTCACACATTTACTATCACACACAGACGCAGACGCAGACGCAGACGCACACGCAGACGCAGAGACAAACACAGATACACACAGACACAGGCACAGACACAAGCACAAACACAGACACACAGACAGACACACAGACACACAGACACACAGACACACAGACACACAGACACACAGACACACAGACACACAGACACAGACACGCAGACACAGAGACACAGAGACACAGAGACACAGACACACAGATACACAGACACACAGACACACAGACACACAGACACGCACAGACACACACACAGACACAGAGACACAGAGACACACAGACACACAGACATACAGTACTTTGTGCCCCTCTTGGCCAGGCAGTGGCAAAGGGACCCAGTTCTTGCTAGAGACACCCATGTCGAAGTCACAATCATCACATCTGGCAAAACAGTCAAAACACACAAAGGGCGTATGCGGGTGGGTGCGTGTGTGTGGGTGTGTGTGTGTGTGCACCCACGCACCCACGCACCCACGCACCCACGCACTCACGCACCCACGCACCCGCGCAACCACGCACCCTCGCACCCTCGCACCCACGCACCCACGCAGCACGCACCCACACACCCACCCACCCACCCACCCACCAATGCACCCACACACACACACACACCCACACACACGCACCCACCCGCAACGCCCTTTGTGTGTTTTAACGGTTTTGCCAGATGTGATGATTGTGACTTCCACATGGGTAAGAACTGGGTCCCTTTGCCACTGCCTGACCAAGGCGGGGCACAAAGTACTTTATGTCTGTGTGTCTGTGTGTCTCTGTGTCTGTGTGTGTCTGTGTGTCTGTGTGTCTGTGTGTCTGTGTGTCTGTGTGCCTGTGTGCCTGTGTCTCTGTCTGTGTGTCTGTGTGTCTGTGTGTCTGTGTGGCAGGGGAAGTGAATCTTACAAACCCCAGCTTCTCCCAAGCCAAGGCTACAATGCTTGCATGGCGGCCCTCGACTGGCAGCCCGCGCTCGCGTTGCTCCAAGACATGCGGCAGAGAGAGGCACGAGCGCACAGCCCGGCAGCGGGTTTTAAAATGGGGGTGAGGAACGACCGATGTATCCAATCAAGTAACGGTCATATCTGGTGCATTTGCTCAGCATGAAAGTTTGAGGTGTGGATCGGAGTGAACGACGAAGCCTTAGGGAAGTGCTTACCAAGATAGAAAGAGCGGGTATATGTTTGAGCCACCCCGTTGGTTTGGCCTATGTCCGTTTCTTGGTGCGCGCGCTCACACTCAGTTATACTCAGTCAGCGTTTGCACCAGTGGATTATTTAGTGTTTCATGTTGACCACCCATGAAACAACTGGAACTACCATTGATTCATAAATCGAGCCATGATTATTTGCATACAAACAGTTTCGAGTGTTCAAGAGTTTACGAAAGATATCTTAACATGTACATATCACATCAAGTAGATTACATAAATATACATTATCAGTACGTGTGGAAGATGAATCCGGGGTATAGCCAATCATCGCTATAGTCTTTTTGCAAGACATGAGTTTAGTATTGCTTCTTTAGTTGTAGGACCTTGAGAAGACAAGACACATCAGGAATTATTACGGTCTTAGACTGGGATATTTTGTCGGCTTACATGTAGTGCAGATAGTTTGGTTTTTTATTGGGGATGTTGTTCAATCCAGCAAATAATAGAAAGTCTTTAAGAACTGACTCTTCCATTGGACTAGGGAAAGATGTCAAAAACAAATACTGGACCAGTAATG